TTCTGGTTTTTATCGAATGTGATCCTCTGAAAAACCAGAAAATTCCAGAAAAAAAGGGTAATTTAAGAAATTTTAGCGCTAAACTGAATTTTTGAATTTCAGAAAACGCGCCGACGACGCGCCATACATCCAAAAGCTGCTAAAAATGCATTTTTCGAGGTCCACACAAAAATCAAAAAAGTTTTGCCACCCAGAGGAATCGAACTTTGGTGTTGAGATTCATAAAAATTCAGTGCAAAAATCCACTAGGCCATCTGAACGCGAAATTTCAAAATCGCGATTTTTGATGATTTTTAGGGGTTTAAAGTAGTTTTAAGCATTTTTAAGCGGTTTTTCAGTGTTTAGAAGCTCTGAAAATGTCTAAAAGCATCATTGTTGGCTGGTTTTATAGAATTCATCGCTTTTTAATCGAATTTTTTGAGCAAATTTTTTCCAGCCGGCGATCAAACAGAAATTGGAGAGAAAGGAATCAACCTATCCGGAGGTCAAAAAGCGCGCGTCTCTCTCGCCCGAGCAGTCTATCAGAATCTCGACGTCTACCTCCTCGACGACCCGTTGTCAGCAGTGGATGCTCATGTCGGAAGGCACATCTTCGAGAAAGTCATCGGACCCAACGGCCTACTCCGTCAGAAGACCCGAATCCTAGTGACCCATGGATTAACCTTCACCAAGCTCGCCGATGAGATTCTAGTGCTCCACGAGGGACGTCTCGAGGAATCTGGAACCTTTGACGCTCTAATGAAGAAGAGGGGTGTCTTTTACGACTTTATGGAAGAGTACAAGTCGTCGTCAGAGGACTCTACAGTCAGGCTTCAGAGGAGGAGTTGGACATTGGAGAGGAGCAAGGGCTGGTGGTAACTAGCGATCTAGATGAATCTGTGAGGACTCCAGAGCTGACCACGCAGATTTCCACGATGTCGAGTCCTGAGAAAGGGGTTTTGGATCGTTCCATAAGCCAGAAGGAGGAGAACAAGCTCATCAAGAAAGAAGACGTGGCGCAGGGCAAAGTGGAAATCGCCACCTACCAGTTGTACGTCAAAGCCGCAGGATACTCCCTATCCATCGCCTTCATCCTATTCTTCGTCTTCTACATGACCGTACAGATCCTCAGATCGTTCTGGCTATCCGCCTGGTCGGATGAATACGATCCCGACTCGCCTAGCGCCCACCCGATGGCCAAGGGATGGAGGTTGGGTGTCTACGGAGCGCTGGGATTTACAGAAGTCGGATGCTTCTTCGTGGCACTTCTGGCGCTGGTTTTTGTGGGTCAACGGGCTTCGAAGAATCTTCACGGACCCCTGATTCATAACTTGATGAGGTCTCCAATGTCGTTCTACGATACAACACCGCTGGGACGGATTCTGAATCGATGTGCCAAGGATATAGAGACCATCGACATGCTCCTACCGATGAATTTCCGATATCTAGTCATGTGTGTACTTCAAGTGGCATTCACACTGATTGTCATTATCATATCAACCCCCCTCTTCGCTGTTGTCATCGTCCCATTGGCCGCTATCTACCTGGTGTTCTTGAAATACTACGTACCTACCTCCAGACAGCTGAAGAGGTTGGAAAGTGTGAATCGATCGCCAATCTACTCGCATTTCGGGGAGACTATCCAAGGCGCAGCGTCCATTCGCGCTTTCGGCAAGGTTGACGAGTTTCGAGAGCATTCTGGAACGATCCTCGACAGATTCATCAGGTGTAGATACTCGAGCTTGGTGGCGAATCGATGGTTGGCAGTGCGGCTGGAGTTTGTCGGAAATTGTATTGTAAGTAGTTGGATTTTGCGGATTTTAGAACATTCTAGAGGCGTCTAGCACCATTTCTAGGCCATTTCCCCTTAACGCGGCCTAGAAAACGCAATTTGCAAAAGTTAGGCCACCATGTTAAAACGACTTTAAAAACGAATCAGGTGAATGTGAGGTGCTTCGAATCTTCTAGAAGCTTCTAGAGTCATTTCAGCATAGTGGCCTAGGAAATTTTACTTTGGTGGCCTAGAAAACCCAACTTGCAAAAGTTAGGCCACCATGGTAAATGGCCTAGAAAACACACGAATTAAATGTTAGGCAATTTCTAGGTCATAAAAGTCGGTGACCTAGAAAAATCATGTTGGAAAAAGTTAGGCCACCAACTATTGTGGTCTAGAAAAAGCTTGATATTGGCCTGGTGTAATTTCTGGGCTGATTTACCATGGTGGCCGAACTTTTGCAACTGGAGTTTTCTAGGCCACAATTCTAAAATGACCTAGAAATGACCTGATATTCACCCGGCGTGTTTTCTGGACGATTTAGCATCGTGGCCTAGGAAACCCCAACTTGCAAAAGTTAGGCCACCATGGTAAATAGCCTAGAAAACTCATCAGTTGGATTTTTGGGTTCTATAGACCCTTCTAGAACCGCCTAGAGTCATTTCTCGGCTATTTTACCTGGGTGGCCTAGGAAACCCCAACTTGCAAAAGTTAGGCCACCACGTTGAAATGGCCTAGAAAACACGCCAAATCTTCTAGAACCTTCTAGAAATCTCCAATTTCTTGCAGATCTTCTTCGCGGCCCTGTTCGCAGTGCTCTCCAAAGAATTCGGATGGATAACGAGTCCAGGAGTGATTGGAGTGTCCGTATCCTATGCTCTGAACATCACAGAAGTCCTCAATTTCGCCGTTCGCCAAGTTTCGGAAATCGAAGCGAACATCGTGTCGGTGGAGCGAGTGAACGAATACACAAACACTCCAAATGAGGCCGAATGGAGAATTGAGGGACAGGCTCCGCCCACTGGATGGCCCAGTCGCGGGGTGGTCACTTTTGATGGGTACTCGACGAGATATCGAGAGGGATTGGATCTAGTGCTACGTGGAATTTCGGCGGATGTGCGGGCGGGCGAGAAGATTGGAATTGTGGGAAGAACGGGAGCAGGTAGGCTGTTAGCTGGAAACTACCTGAAACTGCTCTTAAAACACTTCAAAACCCCAAAATATCCGACAAAAATGATGATTTTCGACGTTTTTCGGGCTTCTAAACGCTGAAAAAATGTTCGAAAATGCTTAAAAACTACTCTAAACCCCTTAAAACCCTCTGAAAGCACCAAAAATCGCGATTTTCTACCATTTTGAATTTTCGCGTCCAGCTGGCCTAGTGGATTTTTGCACCTCAATTTTTACGAATCTCAACACCAAAGTTCGATTCCTCCGGGTGTAAAAACTTTTTTGATTTTTGTGTGGACCACGAAAAATGCTTTTTTAGCAGCTTTTGATGAATGGCGCGCCGTCGGCGCGTTTTTTTTTTAAATTCAAAAATACGTTTTAGCTCTAAATTGGTTAAAATTTCTCTTTTTTTTCTGGAATTTTCCGGCATATTCTCAACTCGAATTGTGTAAATTAGTTTGAAAAAGCAAGAAAACTTGACAATTGTGAGAAAAAACGACTAATTTTGAGCCAAAAATGATGATTTTTGACCATATTTTATTTTGGTAACTAAAATGAACTTTTAGACTTCAAAAAATGTAAATTTCAACTTTTTAGGAGCTTTGAAACACTTTGAAATCGCTTAAAATTGCTTAAAACTGCCTAGAAACCCTTGAAAACGCCGAAAATCGCGATTTTGAATTTTCGCGTCCAGATGGCCTAATGGATTTTTGCACCTCAATTTCTACGAATCTCAACACCAAAGTTCGATTCCTCTGGGTGTCAAAACTTTTTGATTTTTGTGTGGACCTCGGAAAATGCATTTTTAGCAGATTTGGATATTTAATGTTCAGAGAAAATATTTCTTTGGATGAAAATTAAAAATTTTGAAAAAAAATTCAAAAAACGCGCCAACGGCGCGCCATACATTCAAAACGCCTTAAAATGCATTTTTCGAGGTCCTCACAAAAATCAAAAAGGTTTTGCCGCCCGGAGGAATCGAACTTTGGTGTTGTAATTCGTAGAAAACTCAGTGGAAAAATCCACTAGGCCATCTGGACGCGAAATTTCAAAACGGTCGAAAATCTCGATTTTTTGAGATTTTAAGGGTATTTAAGCAGTTTTAAAGGGCTTAGAAGCTCTGAAAATGGCAGAAAATGGGGACCAATTGGATTTTCAACAAAAAAAAAATTAATATAATATCTCAACAGGAATCAAATGGCACGATGGTAGGTAGGTTCATAGAGATGTTGTGGATTGTGTTTCGTTAAAAAATCAATTTTTGAAAATTTTCTTCAAATTCTGAAGTTTCAGAATTTGAAAAAAAAATTTCAAAAATTTCAAATTTCGTTTCCAGGAAAATCCTCATTTGCCCTAGCACTATTCCGTATGGTCGAGGCCGCGGGCGGTCGAATCGTGATCGATGGCATCGAAGTGGCGTCGATTGGTCTTCATGATCTCCGTAGTAATATCACTATCATTCCACAGGATCCAGTACTCTTCTCTGGAACGCTCAGATTCAATTTGGACCCATTTTCAACGTATTCAGGTGAGAAAATGAGCTAGAAATCCTGAAAAATCGGAAAAAAATGGTCCAAAATTGAGGAAAATGAACCAAAAATGATTTTTAGAACAATTCGAAAAAGTTTTGAAAAAAAAAATGTTTTTTTCGGATTTTTTTATAATTAGACTAATTATCATCTTAATCACCTCCAGAAAATTTTTTCACTTTTTGAATTCTCTCTTTTTTTTTGAATTTCTGATTTTTAAATTTTTTCGATTTTCCGAAAATTTGGATTTCCGAATTTCTGAATTTCCGATTTTCTGGATATCCGAATTTCTGAGTTTTCAAATTTCTGATTTTTGTTTCCAGACGATCAAATCTGGCGAGCTCTCGAACTTGCTCATCTCAAGTCCTTCGCCTCCGCGCTCCCCGACGGATTACTGTACAAAATCAGCGAGGCCGGCGAGAATTTGAGTGTTGGCCAACGGCAATTAGTCGCCCTGGCCCGTGCGCTCCTCCGACACACTCGGGTATTGGTACTGGACGAGGCCACGGCGGCTGTCGACGTGGCAACGGATGCGCTGATTCAGGAGACGATTCGAAACGAGTTTAGAGAGTGTACAGTATTCACTATTGCTCATAGACTGAATACCATTATGGATTATGATAGGTAGAGTCTTTTTTCTTCTCTTTTTTTTTGTTGGGACAAATTGCCTGAAATAGGCCAATGACATGAAAACCCCGCCAAAAATGACAATTTTCAACAGCTTTAGAACTTCCAAACACAGAAAAATCACTTAAACCTGCCTAAAATCCCTTAAGACCCCAAAAAATCGCGATTTTCTACCTATTTAAATTTTCGCGTCCAGATGGCCTAGTGGATTTTTGCACCTTAATTTTTACCAATCTCAACACCAAAGTTCGATTCCTCTGGGTGGCAAAACTTTTTTTATTTTTGTGTGGACCTCGAAAAATGCATTTTTAGCAGTTTTGGATATTTCATTTTCAGAGAAAAAAAATTTTTTTTGCTGAAAATTGAAAATTTTGAAAAAATTTCAAAAAACGCGCCAACGGCGCGCCATACAGCAAAAGCTGCTAAAAATGCATTTTTCGAGGTCCACACAAAAATCAAAAAAGTTTTGCCACCCAGAGGAATCGAACTTTGGTGTTGAGATTCCTAAGAATTCAGTGAAAAAATCCACTAAGCCATCTGGACACGAAAATTCAAAATCGCGATTTTCGACGTTTTTAAAGGTTTTTAGGCGGTTTTTCGCAATTTTAAGCAGTTTCAGAGTGTTTTGAAGCTCTGAAAATGTTCAAAAATTCAATGTTTTTCAGAATTATGGTCCTCGACAAGGGAGCAATTCTGGAATTCGACTCTCCAGACGCACTGATGGCCGATCGAAATAGTGCATTCGCGAAAATGGTCGCCGATGCTGCCGAACAGGACAAACATGAATGAAAAACTGAAAATTCCGTTTTTCTTGGTGCTGAAAATGTCTGAAAGTATGAAAAAAAATTTTTTTCAAAATTTTCAGATTTATTCATTTTTCTAAGCTTTAATGTCCCTTTTTTGAATTTTTTTAAAAATTTTTTAAATCTTCTAAACCTCACCCCCACACCTATTCACTTCCCACACAAAATGGAACCGGTGCTAATTTTGTAATTTTTCTTCGATTTTGAAGATTTTTACTTTTCCCCATCTAATCGCACTAATTTGTTGAAATTGTGTGACTCTTTTTTAAAACTTGAATTGTTGAAACGAATTTTTTATTGATTTTTTAATTGGTATTTCGAATAAAAGAATTTTAAGACTTTTCTTTTTTCTAAATACATTTCGATAGCTTCTTAACACTGAAAAACTGCTTAAAACAGCTTAAAATTGCTCTAAAACCCCTAAAAACCCAAAAAATCGCGATTTTGAAATTTTGCGTCCAGATGGCCTAGTGGATTTTTGCACCTCAATTTTTTCGAATCTCAACACCAAAGTTCGATTCCTCTGGGTGTCAAAACTTTTTTGTTTTTTGTGTGGACCTCGGAAAATGCATTTTTAGCAGTTTTGGATGTATGGCGCGCAGTCGGAGTGCTTTTTGAAATTCAAAAATTCAGTTTAGCTCTAAATTGGTTGAAATTTCTCATTTTTTCTGGAATTTTCCGGCATATCCTCAACTCGAATTGTGTAAATTTGTTTGAGAAAACAAGAAAACCTGAAAATGGTGAGGAAAAACGACTAATTTTGAGCCAAAAATGATGATTTTTGACTACTTTTACTTTTGGTGACTAAAATGAACTTTGTGACTTCAAAAAATATAAATTTCAACTTTTTAGGAGCATCGAAACACTTTAAAATCGCTTGAGATTTCTTAAAACTGCCTAGAAACCCCTAAAAACACCAAAAGTCGCGATTTTGAATTTTCGCGTCCAGATGGCCTAGTGGATTTTTTCACCTCAATTTCTACGAATCTCAACACCAAAGTTCGATTCCACCCGGTGTCAAAACCTTTTTGATTTTTGTGTGGACTTCGAAAAACGCGTTTCTAGCAGTTTCGGATGTCTGGAACGTTACATTTTCTATTTTCAGCCTAAAAAATCTGAAATTTCTGAAAATTATGGTTCCAAGCATCCAAAGTTGCTTTAAAAATACATTTTCAAAATCCACACAAAATTCAAAAAAGTTTTGACACCCGGAGGAATCGAACTTTGGTGTTGAGATTGGTAAAAATTCAGTGGAAAAACCCACTAGGCCATCTGGACGCGAAAATTCAAAATCGCGATTTTTGGTGTTTTTGAGTGTTTTAAAGCAGTTTTGAAATGTTTTAAAGCAATTTTCAGTGTTCGGAAAGTCTGAAAATGTTCAAAATCGATTTTTAAAAAAGTTTTTTTTTTTTTAAATTTAACTCAAAATTTCGAAATCTCTGAAATTCCGATTTTTCTTTCTCCTCCTCGGCCTCTCCACAAAATGATCTATGAAATTGTAGAATTTCAGATTCTTCTCCGAAATTTCAGCATTTTCAGCCTCTTCATCATCATCTCCAAAATATTGCTCATCTTTGAATTCTTGAAAATCCAATTTCATTGATTTTGGATCAAATTGACATTTTCGGATGTAGGAATCGTCTGAAATTTCGAATTTTTAGATTTTTTTTAATTTCTGAGTTTTTGAAAATCTGAGATTCTGAGATTCCGAGATTATGAATTTCTAAACTTTCGAATTGCAGAATTTCAGAATTCTTGAGTTTTGAGTTCTAGATTTTCTGAATTTCCGAATTTTCTAGGTCGTGACCTAATTTTTTCTAATTTTTTCTAGGTCATGGCCTATTTTTTTCTAGGTCATGGCCTAATTTTTTCTAATTTTTTCTAGGTCATGACCTAATTTTTCTAGGTCATGACCTAATTTTTTCTAGATCATGACCTAATTTTTTCTAATTTTTTCTAGGTCATGGCCTAATTTTTCTAGGTCGTGACCTAATTTTTTCTAGGTCATGACCTAATTTTTTCTAATTTTTTCTAGGTCATGGCCTAATTTTTCTAGGTCGTGACCTAATTTTTTCTAGGTCATGACCTAATTTTTTCTAATTTTTTCTAGGTCATGGCCTAATTTTTCTAGGTCATGACCTAATTTTTGTTCTAAATTCCGAAATTTCGGAATTTCAGAAAAAAATTCCAAAAAATCCACTCACTATGCCGGTCCCATTTGAATTTTCGAAAATATTTCCCAAAAACTTTTTTCCAATTTTTCGGCTCCTCCACAAAATTATAACTGATCATTTCCATTTTCGTTGGAGTCCGGGATATTTTTTTAGTGTCGGATCCATACTGAAAATTCAATTTGTGTAAAATAGGGCCCAGTATCCAAGGGTACATCGAAAAAGGGTACCTCGAGTTCTT